CAACATATTGCTTGTTCAAGGCAAATTCCAACTGAAAAAAATCAAGGCATATCTCAACTCCCGTTGTGCATTGTAGGGAAAGAAAAAAAAATCCTAACAAGCGACAAGCCTTTCCCTTTGGGTATCTGCTTTCTATTGTGAAGAAGTCTTCTTTCTTTTATTATTATTATTATTTTTGTACTTCTCTATGACTGGATCCCAAAGGCATATGGTGGTTGTGGCTTGAACTTCTTTCTTGGGCAGGAACTGGAAAGATTAAGATGGTTTCAGTTGATGACGTAGAGGACATGGCTCGGGCTGGTGTTGTAACCTCTCTCGTGGAGCTAGCATTTCTATGGATATAGAAGGGTTATTATTAGCCCAAATGCTTGTTTTTTTTAATAAGTTGACATAATAATTGAAAATGTTTAATAATTTAAGATGTTTATAGTATTTTTTTTATATTAATAACTTTATTTGTACTCCTATAAAAATTCTTAATAAAATTTCTAAATGTAAATAACATTTTATACTTAATAATTTAAGTTTATATCTTAAAAAAGCTGTACTAGAAATAACATGAGTGAAAAAACAATTACCAAATCAAGTGAAGGCAGTCAATTAGTCAAATGCATGAAGTTGACCAAAAAGTCTCAAACATTAAAAAAAAAAAATTTCAGTACTCTTTGATTTTTCCGATTTTTAGTTTTTTTCCCCCGCTTCAATGTATGGTTTTTTTTTTCCCCAAAATTATCATCTGGCATATGCATGGCAATAAATGGTTGAACTAGATGAAATAGCATAGATCCGTAGTAACTTTACCTTGTGGGGAATTTTGTGGCTAGATCAGACTTAATGAGCCATAACTCGATCAGAAAGGAATTCTCAAACTCACATTTCACAAACTAGCTACGTCGCATGTGGTTGCAATTTTTAGGACAGCAGACAGGGACGGAGCTAGTGTAGGACAAGAGGGAGCAGCTGCCCCCCCTAAGCTTTTGAAAAATATTAAACATGGTACATCAATTTTTATTTTTTACAAATTTATATTTGAAGTTAATTTGAATTATAGAGACTATTTAAATATAAAAAAATATTTAGGATCTAGGCAAAGGAATTATTTTTCTCTCTGTGATTAATTTTTATAAAGATATGATAATTTTATTTAGAAAAAAACAAATATAGAAAATAATTAAGATTTAGTTATATTAAGATAAATTTATATAAATTTTTACATTGGTTATACATATATATTTTTTGTATGATTTATATTTTATTAAACTAAAGTTGATTTGATATATTAAACCTTACCCAAAAAATTATATTTTTATGTTATTTATTTAATAATCTCAAATTCTATGTTATTAAAAAATAATTAAATATATCTAGTTAATATAAAATTTATTGTGGATAATATAAATAGTACATGTATAAAAATAATAATTGATTTAAAAACCAATATAAATTATATTAATATGAATTGTTCAGATTTTGTTTTTCAGTATTGTATTGTAGATATAAGTTTTTTTATTTTTTAATATTTTAAAAATATATACAATATTAATTAAAATTAATAAAAATATATAAAATAATAATTTTTTGACCAAATATAAAATATTAATCACCTATAATAAATTTGCATTAATATATAAATTGTTATGAAAAAAATTTATATAAAATTTGGTCAAATAAAATTTAAATGACTCACAAATTTTAAAATTTTATCTCCTTCACTTAAATTATTGGCTCCGTCCCCGACAGCAAGCCTTGCATAAATACATCATTTAGTGTGGTAGCTGTCATAATGTCTTGTCATGGACTCCCATGCTTTCTACCCATGTGATCTTTTTGGACCACCATCAACAACACTAAATGATAGTAAATTTTCAATATCAATACCAATGTGGCAACTACTTACCCAAAATAGTACCCCACCTAACACCGCTTTTCTCCATTTTAACTCATTTGGTTTGTTCTGAATTACAGCCTTTAAAATATTTTGCGTACTTTAAAAAATAATTAATTAAATGTTCTTCCAATATCAACACCAAAAAGGCAACTGCTTACCCAAAATAGAACCCCACCTGACACCTCTTTTCTCCGTTTTAAGTCATTTGGTTTGTTCTTAATTACAGCCTTTAAAATATTTTGTGTAGTTTAAAAAATAATTAATTAAAAGTTCGTGTTGAAATAAATAATAAAATAATGAGAAAGAATTATATTATGCAGAGATAAATATATGTAACGACCCCACAATACAAACAACCTCAATATTATGAATTTTACGCCTCTCATGCAAAAAATTCCCCATTTCATTGATTGATACGAAATTTTCCTATTCCCCAATCACTTTCGTCTCGGATATCTGGTGGCGGTTGTTCCCACCATCAAATATGAAATATGCCAGGGCCATCAATATTTTAGGTTTTTTTCTTAAATAATGTATGAAAATATAAATTTATTAATTATAAATATAAATTATTTTATTAGTTATTAATTAATAATTACAGTATTAATTATTTTTATTAATTAAATTAACAGAATCAGTATTTTTAATAACAATATTTTATAATTTTAGTGTGGTTTTAACATTCTTATTAGTAGTTATAATCATTCCCCGTATATTTGCACCAACATACTGTAACATATTACGACTAGGGATTTTTTTTATCTGCATTCTTAGTAAACAAGTTACAGGTGCAGTTATTATACTCCCACTGGCCTTTTTTAGTTGTCATAATTCTTTGACTTTGTGAAATTAATTTAATAATTTTATATAATAAATGAATAATAATTGAAAAATTATTTTAATCTAAGTGAAACTACTTAATAAGAACTATGAATTGAAAGAAAAACAATTTCAGTTGTCAACTATTTATCATATAGAATTTTGTGGTTAACTTTTACGTAAAAGTCAAATTTAGACAACTAAATCTAATTGGGGGAGTATATATATATTTTTTATACTTCATTGTTTAAAATAACAATCATTTTTTGGCTTTGAGTTTGTTATTAATTAATTGTAGTTTTTCTATTTTTTATGATAAATAAATATTTTTTTCCACTTTAATTCTCTCATTATCCATTTACTTTAATTAATTATCCTATCGTAAAAAGTCTCTATTTGTTTTTTTACTTCCTCTATCTTAAAATAATTGTCATTTTTTTTATTTTGAATTTGTCCTAAATTAATTTTCATTTTTTTCATTTTTTAGATAGACAATATTTTTTCTTTATAAAATCCTATCAATGACTCCATCACAGCCAAAAAGCTAGCAAATTTCTCCCAAGGCAAAAAGGGCAAATCAACCCCTGTACTCTTCATCTGGTGACAAATCAGCCCCTTAACTGAAAATGGTGGGAAATGAACCCTCAAACCCTTTTGGTGGCAAATCAGCCCTTTTTAGACGGAATTCAATTTAACTGACAGTGTATGTGCTTGGGTGAGATCTAGGATGATGATATAATTAGGGGTGTTCACGGTGTGGTTTGGTTATGATTTTATTATTTTTTAAATCAATCAAATTTAATCGGTTAATAAAATTTTTAAACCAATCCAATCCATTATTATGTGATAACCAAATTAATCCAATTTAAATCGGATCGGTGTGATTCGATCTAACTAATCGGTTTTTAACATTATTAAATATATAAGATAATGTAAAAATATGTTAACATCAAATAAAAAGTATAACTATAAAATACATTAACATCGAAATCAGTAAAAACATAATAATAGGTAAAAATTATAAACAAATTATTATATTCCTTTATATTTGTAAAAATTGAAAAGCTCTTAAAATTTTTCGTGGTTACATCACTAGAGGTACCAAAAATAATAAAAAATAATTTCAAA